TTGCCCAATTGGTAATCTTGGGAATCTGATCGTCACTTTGGACTACTTTCTGGGCCCAGAAATCCCAGATTTGGGAACTTTGGACGCGCCATTAACCACAATTTTTTAAATGTATTTCTACTAATTTATTGAAAAAAATAATTGAGAAATAATCGATTTTCTGGGTCATTTGAGAACTCGAAATCGATTTTCCAAATATCTGAAAATACAGAAAAATCGATTTTCAAAGTTCTAAAATTTATTTTTCCTTTTTTTTGTAATTTCATTTAACCATTTTATTCATTTTCTCCATCACTTTTCTGTGTAAAAATTTTCAGCAAAAAACTGACTCATAATCTATTTGGATTTCGCAATTCACACATACTATGGTCTCTTGTATTTTTACCCTCCCCCTTTAATTTATTTTTTTTTCAAAAATTCCAAATTTTTAAAATAGTTGATTTTCATGAAACTGTGACCCATTTTTCTCCAATTTGTAATGCTGATTTTTCGTGAAGAATCTGTAATTGTCAGTATGTGATTTCTTGCTTTTCTCCTCCTCTCCCCTTTTTTTCAGACCAATTTTCAGTCATTTTTAGGGGGTTTCAGCCGAAACAATGTCAGTGTCATCGGTGTCGCTGAGCTCGGATGCCAATGTTCGCTATCAGCGATTGGCGGCGGAATACACGAAATTGAGAGCACAGGCAAAGGTTTTGAGAGAAGGCGTGCTGGAGGAGCGGGGACGAGGGGATAAGCTTACGGTAGGGACATCTGGATACACGGACAGACAGATAGAGCGAAAATGTGAAGAAAAATGAGCCGAAATTAGTGAAAATCGGTGGAACATGAGCTGAAAAATCGCAAAAATTGTTGTCTTATTTTTTCAAATTTGCCGCCTTTTTACTGAAAATTTTGAATTTTTAAATGATTTCAGATTTTTTTTCGCATTTTGTTCTGAAATTATAGAATTTTTAGTCAATTTTTCGACTGAAAATTGAGCCAAAACTAACAAAAATCGATGGAAAATGAGCCGAAAAACATTTTTTTGTATTTTTGGATTATAATTGAGTCGATAATTACAAAAAAATTGCGAGAAAAAAAGGCTTTTGTCTCAATTTTTTAAATTTCCCGCCAAAGTTTTTTTTGAAAAGGAACTGAAATTTTTAAATTTTCAAATCGTTTCAGATGTTTTTCTCGACATTTCGGCTTTCTCGATTTTTCAAATTTCCCGCCAAATCTTTTTTTGAACAGAGCCCCAGCATTTCTTCAAATACATTACTTTTTAAGCGACTTCGACTGAGAATTCAAAAATTCAAATTTCCCGCCAAGCCATTTTTCAAAAAACGAAAAATTCCAGGAAGACCTGAAATCGAAAGAAGCCGTCATTCGACGACTTCAAGCCGAAAACGAATCGCTGACGTTTCGAAACGAGCAACTCGTTCGTCGCGTTGAAAATTTTCAATTCGACGCTCCGCCCACCACACTACAAACTACAACTCCCAGAAAACCAGCTACCACAAAACAGGCTCCGCCCACTTCTCAATCTCACGTGGATGCTGCGAGAATTGAGCTGTTGGAGCAGGAATTGAAGTAAGAACATGAGTTTTTTAGGTTTCTAGGCCACGAGGTTTCTAGGCCATAATGGTTTTTCTAGGCCACGGTGTTTTTTCTAGGCCTTAGTGTTGTCTAGGTCACAAACAGTGTATCCTTTCGACTTCGAGAAAGCTCTCGAAAGTTTTTTCGAAATATGTTTCGAGACGAATTCATTTTGAAGTAGTGGTGGTCTAACTTTTTCAATTTGAGTTTTCTAGGCCACCCTTTCCAGATGAGCTAGAAAACGCACCAAGGTCATGTTAGGGCATTTATAGGCCATTTTAACGTGGTGGCCTAACTTTTGCAAGTTTGGTTTTCTAAGCCACCACATTAAAATGACTTAGAAATGCCCTACCTTAGAACTATGATACCCCTGGTGTCTCTTCTAGGTTTCTTTGAAGTGGTGGCCTAACTTTTGCAAATTTGGGTTTCTAGGCCACCATTTCCAAATGACCTCGAAAACACACCAGGGTCATGTTTGAGCATTTTAGGCCATTTTCAACTGGTGGCCTAGAAATCCAAACGTGCAAAATTTAGGCCACAACATTTTAATGCTCATTTTCAGACAAAAACTGGAACAAAACGAACGTCTCGTCTCAGAATTGGCTGAAAATGAGCGTCAACACGCCGTCGAAATGGCTGAAATGTCTGAAAAATTGGCGAAAGAAATGCGGAAATTAGAGGACGAAGTGAAACGAATGAGAATTCGCACGAAAATGATTCAGAATCCGAAAGAAGACGTTGAGGGGTCTCCTGAAGACGTGGATGACATGAGAAAATCAGAAGACGTCGTTGTCGAGGATATCGGAAGTCCCGAGCCGCCAGAATCACAAGAAGAGGCGAGAATTATGGTTGCAGAGGCGGCGCGAGGCACTTTTTCGGGTAAGGCGGGAAATTTGAAAATTGCGACGTTTTGGAACCGCGACATTTTAGAACTGTGACATTTCAGAACCGTGACGTTTCGCAACCACGATGTTTTAGAACCGCGAGATTTAAGAGCTATGACGTTTCAAAACCGCTCAGAACTATGACGTTTCAGAACCACGTCATTTTAGAACCGCGACGTTTTGGAACCACGAAATTTTAGAACCGCGAGATTTTAGAACTATGACGTTTCAGAACCGCTTAGAATTGCGACCTTTCATAACTGTGTCGTTTTAGAACCGTGACGTTTTAGAACCACGACGTTTAAAAAAACGACGTTTTAGAACCGCGACGCTTTAGAACTATGACGTTACAGAACCGCTTAGAACCGTGATGTTTCAGAACCGTGACGTTTTGGAACCGCGACTTCTCAGAACCGCGAAAGTTTAGAACCGTGACGTTTCAGAAATGCGACATATTAGAACTATGACGTTTTAGAACAGCGACCTTTTAGAACCATGACGTTTCAGAACCGTGACACTTTAGAACTGTGACGTTTGAAAACCGCGACGTTTTAGAACCGCGTCGTTTCAGAACCGAAATAAATCTTAAAATCTGAAGTTTCGTAATTACCTTTTTGGATTTTGGATTTTTCGAATTTTTGGAATTTTTGAAAATTCTGACTATTTTAGCTCAAAAAATGTTTGAATTTCAGGCTTCACTAACGTCTTCACACTTCTACAACAACGTTGCGAAATCTATCCATTCGACATCAAACTGGAACGTCTTCCAAGCCACGTGGAAAAACTGTCATCAGAATACGCTCAAACCGCCCGTCTCTTCTCGGCTCTCGTCGAAATTGTGGATTCAATAATTCAAAATTCAGAATTCAATCCAACGGAACACATTCCAGAAGTCGTTTCGAAATGTCGTCTGATTTCGAAACATTGCTCACAGATGCTCGCGGAGCTCGTCAAACAAATGACGTCAGAGGAGAATCGAGTGACGTGGTGTACGACGCCGTTGGCCAGATTGAATAACGAGTGGGAAGAACTTATTCTGAGAATGTTTGGAATCTTTGAAGACGTCACTGAGCATCTGTCGTCTTCAGAAGGGCTCCTGGAATCCCTGGATGCGTTAGACGCTGTCACTTCTGAACTGTTGGATGTCTTCAAGAAGCGGTGGATTTTTGAGGCACGTCTCCCGACGACGACTCGCCGGATGCGGTGTGTGGGCTCTGCGTTGGAGGAGGCACTTCAGATGACGTCGGTGGAGACGTCAAAGTTGACGGCGAGGGCGAGAAAGGTGAAAGGAATGGAAGAGGAGGAGTGTAGACGACGTCAGCAGTTAGAAGACGCCAAAGGTCGACAGGAAGAAGAAAAGAGGGTATACATAGAATCAAAAGACGTCAAGGAATCCTTGAATCCGTTTGATGAAGAAGACGATGAGGACTTCAAGGATGCATCGGATGAGATTCAGAAGACGTCAGAACATCTAGACGTCCCAACATCAGCAGAATCCAAAATTGCCGAATCACGAAAAACTTCATCTGTCTCTTCAGAATCGAAAATTCAGAAAACTTCGACGTCGAAGCTATCTGAATTCAGAATTCCCTTGACTTCTGAATCCAAGCTTGCCGAATTTTCTGACTCCGCCCACTTGGAATCGGAGCTCCGCCTCCTTCAAATTCGCAACGACGAACTGCAAAAAGAGCGCGACAAAATGTTTGTGGACATATCGCTGACGAAACGAAAATTGGAGAAACTGCAAAATTCAGAAATTCCGGAAAAATCGATAATCCAACCATCGGATATCGATCAAGTTTGGGAAATCGGAATGGAGCGGAGAGACGAATGGATTCAAAGAGTGAAGAAGGCGGAGAAGGCTTTGCGGTTTTATGAGATTGAGGTAGGTAGGACGTTTTAGAACTGTGACGTTTCAGAACCGTGACATTTCAGAACCGCGACATTTTAGAATCGCGATATTTTAGAACCGCGACATTTTAGAACCGAAACTTTGAAGACCGCGACGTTTCAGAACCGTGACATTTTAGAACCTGAAGGTTTTAGAACTGTGTCGTTTTAGAACCGCGACGTTTTAGAACCGCGACGCTTTAGAAATGTGACATTTTAGAAAAGTGTCGTTTTAGAACCGCGACATTTTGAAACCGCGACATTTCAGAACCGAGACATTTTCGAACTGTGACGTTTCAGAAATGCGATATGTTAGAACTATGATGTTTTAGAACTGCAACTTTTCATAACTGTGTCGTTTTAGAACCGTGTCGTTTTAGAACCGTTGCTTTATAAAACCACGACGTTTTAGAACCACGACGTTTTTGAATAGTTTTAGGATAATGACGTTTTAAAACTGTATCGTTTAGAACCAAGCCTTTCTCGAAACACGACGTTTCAGAACCGTGACACTTTAGAACCGCTACGTTTTAGAATCACGACGTTTCAGAACCATGACGTTTTAAACCCGTTACGTTATAAAACCACAAAGTTTCCGACTGCGACTTTTCAGAACCGCGACGTTTTAGAACTATCTCGTTTTCAGTTTGATCTACTCCTCCGTCACGAAGTGTCATCAGAAGAGCATCTTCGTGAAGTTCTGACTGAAATGGAATCAATAGTAAATCGAAATGCCCGTCTGGAAGATGAGCTGGAAAGTGTTCGACGCAGTTACGAGACCCAACTCGGTGATCTATCTGAGCATTTGGCGACGTTGGTTAAAGAAAGAGAACAGGAGAAAGAATCGAATAAGAGTCGAGGAAGTGTGAGTGATTTTTTCCAGGTTTTTTGGTCCAAAAAATTTGGGAAAAATGGAGCCAGTATGAGCCAGAATCGATGAAAAATGAGCACAGAGTAAAGAAAAAAACGTTTTCAAAAAAAATTTTTTTCAGCTCAAATCATTCTTCAACAAGTCCTAAACCGCGCCACCACGTCATCTGATTCTATTGCCACGTCATCATTTTTTTTCAGTTTCTATTTTTTTTTTTGAATTTTCGAAATTTTTCGTGTAAAAATCTATGTCATCATCATTAATGCATTCTACACTCCTTTTTTTGAAATTCTGTGATATTTTTTAATTTTTTAGAATTTTTTGAAACTTTTAGATTTCAAAATTTTCAATTTCCTAAATTCATATTTAATTGCACCCACCTCCCGTCTTCCTAATTTATGTGATTATATATTTTTAAATATTCAAATGCGCTCCATTGATAAAAATGTTCGAGAGCGCATTTTGTTTTTTTTAAATCTACTTTGTTCATGCCAAATCTCTTTCAATTTTTTGTCCACTTTGTTAATGTTATTTTGGTCAGTAAATGGTGCTATCATGTTTTTTTTTGGTCCAAACGGAACGAAAAAAGAATACACAACACAGAAAATACAGATATCGAATTTCAGAAATTTTTGTGGGTTTTTTGGTTTTTTAGAAGTTTTTGTTTTGAAAATTTCAATTTTTTCGAATTTTGTATTTTTCCCAAATTCGGGAAAACGAGTTCAATTTTACAGATTTCTAACATGAGAATTTTCGCTGATTAAGATTTAAAACCGCCGGGGTCTATAACGTCGCGGTTCTTAAACGTCGCAGTTCTGAAACTTCCCCGGTTTTGAAGAGACACAGTTCTAAAACGTCACGGTTCTGGATCGTTGCAGTTCTAAATCGTCGCTAGTTTGAATTGGCACAGTTCTAAATCGACACACTTCTAAAACGTTGCGGTTCTGAAACATCGCGGTTTTGAAATGTCGCGGTTCTATAACGTCGCGGTTGGGAAACATAACGGTTCTAAAACTTCACGGTTCTAAAACTTCATGGTTCTAAAACGACACAGTTCTAAAACGTTGCGGTTCTGAAACATCCCTGTTCTATAACGTCGCGGTTCTAAAAAGTCGTAGTTCAAAAACAGCAAAGTTCTAAATCTTCATGATTTTCGAACGACACAGTACTCAAATGTCGCGGTTTTGAATCTTCATGGTTCTAAAACGTTATTAAACGTTTCATTTCTGAAGCGAAACAGTCCTAGAACGTCCCAGTTCTAAACCTTCGCTGCTTTCGAATTTTCTGAAATTCATTCAGTTCCCATTTTTCCGAAAAAATCATTCTTATTTTTTTCAAAACTCCCAAAAGTACTATTTGACCTCCAACAAACAAAAAGAATTCAGTCCGAAATTTTTCGTTCCAAGAATTGCTGTCCTTCTCGAATGTTCCAGCAGCAACTGCTAAAATCCTCTCTGAATACCCAAAATGTCCCCAGTTCGAGGTCCATTTTTTCTTCTCTATTTAGCTAGAAAAAAAGAAAATAGGGCGTATTATCCTGATGACTTCATTTTCTTGCTTTTTTCTTGCACACACCATATACCCATGATTCCATTTTTTCTTTGGAATACATTAAAGAAGAAACAGGCTTTTCGTTGTTGTTTTCCCCCACACCCACCAGAAAATGTACAAAGAAGGATTTTCTATTTTTTCGCGTAGAGAAATTTCCATAAAATATTGGATTCTAGAAATATCGATGTCATCGAGGCCAAAGATGTCATAAGCTGATTAGGATAATTAGGGGGGTGGCAAGCCCCGGGGTACTGAAATGTGGGCGGAGCCTAGAAGGACTGGTGTATTTATAAGTGAGAGGTTAAGGAGGTGACGACAGTTCGTGGGATATATTATCACATACCGTAAAACTTGTATTAGAAGGGCCCCTCTAATTGAAGTGTCCCCCCCCCACCCCCTAGAGGCCTCACGAAAAATAGCCTTTGATTTTCAGCCATTTTTTGTTGTTTTGATTGAATCATCGTCTAGTTTTGAAAAAAAAAACTGGAACCTGAAAATTTGAATGCCGTCGCTCTAGTACAGATGCTTGTCTCGTTTGATCGATTTTCGCAATTAAGCTTGGGATTTTCAATTTGAAACAATTCGAGAAATTCTAGCGACGAATATGTTACCAAGAAATCTGAATTTTAGTCTAAAAATTCCACTAAATTCAAAAAAATTGATTTTGTTCGATACAATATCGGGTTTAAAAACCTCGTAAATCGGCGCGAAAGGCGCCCGCAAAATCAGGTGCCAGCTTGTTTTTTTTAATTTGACAACATTGGAAATTTTGTTTTTTATGAAGGAATTGTAGTGGATTCTGAGTAGAAAAACAAAATTTTAACTGAAATATGATGTCACGCCAATAGAAGTTCCGTTCTCAGCGACTCACGAAATATACAATTGCTCCCTCTAATTGAAGGGCCCCTCTAATTGAAGTGCCCCCCTAGACACCCCACGAAAAATAGAAGGACCTTCTAATACAGGTTTTACGGTAACTTTTTCAAAAGACCTTTTATAAGTATTCAAACTTTCCTACTAGAATTATCATATACCGCAAAACTCGGCTGTGCAAAATGACGGCCCGCCGCGGCTTTTAATGTGAAAGCCGCGACTAGTGCCATAAAAAGTGTGAAGTGAAAACTAATTAGTTTTTGAAAAAATACGTTTTCTTTTGTTATACTTTTTTTAAAGCTACGTTCCCGCGCGGTTAACCGACCGCGACCGGCTGTGGCACTGCCTTGCTCTAAACGGTCAACTTTAAGCCCATGTATCTCATTTCCTGTGAAAGAAATCAAAAAGTGGTCAACTGACAAAATGTTAATCATAATATCAAAAATATTTTATCAATTAACCGCGTTTCAATATCTATTACGAGAACCGAGATAAATTGGATCGAAGTGGGCTCAAAGTTTAAAGTTACGGTGGAGGAGGTCATTCTATTAGAGAGAATACTCTTGAATACAGTTTTCCGGCAAAACCGTAGAACTTTTCCACTTTCAAAATTGTTTTATTGAAAAAGGGCGTAGTAGACTTTGTTGGATAAAAAGTTTTTTTTGTTCCACCGTAAGACATACAGTACCTGACAATAATTTGTCCTATTTAGACTCCTTTTCACTGGAAAACAGTACATTTTTAAGTTCTGTAAATATAGGTCATCATTTTTCGCTTCGTCTGGAATTTGTTGGAATCCACAAGTCAAAAATAGAACTTCATTTTTGTAGTTAACAACTTTCTTGTATAATTCCATCCAAATAAGTTAAACCACTTGAAACCCACCAAGTCCAAAGCTTCCAGAGACAACACCGAAAATCGTCAAAATGGGAGTACGATGAATTCGAACGTTTCCAAAATCGAACCGACCTAAAATGGAACTGATTCAAAGCAGAACAGTGTCTTTTCCGAACAAGT